TATTAATATAGTTTCTTCCTTTAAACTTACTATTTAAAAAATTAATTAAGTTCTTTTGTTTCGACGAATTATAAAGAATAAAAAATGCAAATTTATGTTGAAGTTATATTGCCACAAAAACTTGAAAATTTGAATACAAATTAATAGTAATATTAATATTATAAGAAATAAAAATAATTTAAATTGAGTGTCCTTGATTCTCATGGCACCTAGAACGGGCGGCGGAAATAAATTGAGTTATAGGCGCTGGAGGCGCCTTGGTATCATAGTTCTCCGGAAACAGCGCTAATGAGCCGGAAACGAAGGCGAAATCGGTGCCTTCAAGAACCTCGGTATCTGCTCCAAAGTCGGATATTTTTCGGAGCAGCCGGCACTCTCCTTTGTGATGGCGTTCCGGACGGTCGATCCGCAATAGCCGAGAGTCTCTGTAGAGTAAGTTGTTCGTCCGTCTAAAACTTGAGCAAATCTGTAAGCACCCGCGCTATCGATCAAATAAATAGTTTGTTCTGTGCTATTTTATAATAAAAAGAGATTTAACTTACCTTTTCGCTACTTGTGCGCCGGCAACATGGAGCACCCGGCGCTATTGCTCCCTTCTTGCCTCGTGGCGAATTTTAAAAAAGAGACGCCATCGGTACGCGTTACAATTTAAACTATACAACCTGTGTTGCAATAAAAGTGATTTTCTAAGACATTTTGAAATACATTTTATTGCGCGAAATTCGACATTCCTTACAGTATAAAATTCAGAAGTGGGATTCGACCTACTTTCGTGACAGACAGTTTAAGTACGCGCATGCATGATTTAAATGCCGAAAACACGGAAAACACTCTATGATGGATCGAGAGGCATTGGAGTGAATTAAAGTCATCCGGTCTTCAGATATCGGGAGGCGATAACGGCTCGCTTTTCCAGAGTATCGCCTCCCGATATCTGAAGACCGGATGACTTTAATAGAGGCAATTCTGTCTCATGTAGAGAGACAGGGTTTGTCGAGATTGATACTGGAATCGCGCGCAGTCTCTCCTCCAAGCCGGAGATGCCCACACAGGAGGTGCGTGAGGAAGCACCGCTTTCCGCTTTCCAATATATTCCAAGAGACGATGATGCAATTTTCGGAGAATCTCCTTCGTCAGCAGCAGCAATTCATGGCAGATGCTGCAACAATTTACAAATCGAGTTAACCCAGAGCCTCTAGACGAGGAATCTCAGATAGAGGAAATAGAGATGAAAATGAGCCAAGAGTGGAACTCACCAGAATCTTTGCGAGATCATCGCCAAGTGAAGTCGCGCGCTCCGAAGGGGCGGCGGCGGAAAACTCAGTATCGTGGCTGGCGGCACAAATCCTGGAATTTGCTGGATCTGAGAATGAAAGTGTAGTGGTCTGGACTAGAAGAGTGGATAAAGTCTCAGATCCATGATGACGAATGGAATCACATTGCTGGTAGCATCCAATAAGTTGATTAGTTACGCCCGCCAGTGATACAAAATCCAGTCGGACCCTGTAATAGAAACATGGATAAGTCTTAGAGCAGAAATGCTGAAGATTTTTGAAAGAAAAGTGCCTTTCTACAAAGCCATTCAAAGAGCGGAGGCGAGAAAATGGAACCACCAAAGAGAGACTTTCAACCAATACTATAGCTAAATTTAGCTATAACTAAATTAGCGTTAGTACATTTGTTGGACTTACCTGTTAGGAATGTGATACATTTGTTGATTGGTGGTGTGAGGGCTCAGTTCCTTGAGGGCTACGGCTCTCTCGGTGGCCGGTGATTCGCTGGACAGTTTCCTAGACAAAATGCGATGCATAACAGAGGGCTTCACCGAAGTTGAGAGGAGGCCCCAGCAGTCGTCGCATCCTCCGACGAAAGTGCGCGATACTCCGTGCCGAAACTGTGGAAAAAAAGCCACGTTCAGCCGGAGAGAGTTAAGGATTGTCGCGGTGACGTGGTGTGTTTTTATTGTATTATAAAACTAAAGGCCACCGGAATACGATTGTTCTTATCTTCCAGGGAAGAATCAGCGATTTCCTCTGTCTTAGCATCTTCGGACTCGAGTCGATGAGCTGTGCCCGTCTCCTATGAGGCTTCCATGGACGGCCCGGTTGTGCTGATTATGGCAGAACACACCTTGGAAATGAATAAACCGGACGTCACTGTAAACAGTATTTGTAGTAAACATTGTCAATTAATTGCGCTAATGGGTACCGATAGCCCGGTTTCTTTAAGTCGTCCGTTTACAAGGAATGGATCCGTCCATCCATTAGTTAGTGCCGTCCAAACGTTAAACGATTGGTAAATTTGAATAATGAACCGCTCGAAATTTCAGATATAGTCTCTGTCAATTTCTCTGTTTGTTAGGAGATAGAACTTTAGTCACAGATCTTTATGTTATGGCTGACAGTTCCTTTGAAGACGACATAATTTTGGACTGCGAATTTATGCAGCATGAGAAATTGACTTTGATTTACAAACTACATGGTCTCGATGGAGAGAATAAGATTGATTCCTGCATTAATTTCTTCTTTCACTTATCATTGTGCGTTGAGGAAGAACCGGCTGAAAAGCTGGAGCAGCTGGTGGATGAAATCTAAATTGATTTTGACGCGTCTGAAAAAAAGAAACTAGTTAAAGAAACTAGTTAATCTCCTTCTCTACATTGAGGCTCATGATTTTGAGATAATAGACGATGGCTATGCAGTTCAAGTTCGACTCAAGAATGATACCATAAATGCGTACTCTCCGTGCCATTTTGGTTATACCGAATGTCTTCGTGTTTAAATTCGGGAAATTACAGACGATCTGCTCGATCGAGGGATAATAAAACCCAGTATGTCTCCGTATTTGCGCTCGCGTCATACCAGAGCGAAAACGGAACGGTCAAATTCATTTATGCGTTGATTTGCGCCCACTCAATACAAGAGTGGTGAAGCCAAAATACCCGTTTTCGGTAATCGAGAATTGTTTATCTACATTAAATGGTAAAAATGTTTTCACGTTGCTCGATCTCAAAGACGGCTTCTACCAGATCCAAGTACACGAGAAGCACACAAAATATTTCTCTTTTGCCACGCCGGACGGCCAATTCGAGTATGTGCGATTACCGATTTGGATATTCGGAGGCTCCCGCGCAGTTTCAAAAGCGCGTAGTTCAAATCTTGAATCCGTTGATACGGGAAGACAAAATTGTCATCTATATGGACGACGTTGATCCCGTCTGAATCGGTCGACCAAAATTTAGCAGTCCTGGCAAAGACTTTAATCCTTCTAAAAAAATACCAATTTGAATTAAATTATAATAAATGTTAAAATTCAATTCTTAAAGAAAAGCATCGAGTTTTTAGAGTATCTTATTTCAGAAAATGGAATTATGTTGAGCCCGAGACACATAAGAGGCTATAAAAATTTTAAAAACCGAATAATGTTCATGAAGTTCAGCGCTTCTTGGGCCTGGCGAGTTATCTTTGCAAATTTATTAAAGATTTCGCGACGAAAACAGCTCCAAGAATGTTTTGAAGAAAGATATTAAATTTGATTTTGATGATAAATGTATCGTTTGAACTTTTGAAATCGGAACTCACCAGGTTATCGATCCTTGCACTCTACAACACCGAGACGGAACTGCATACAGACGCGTGCAGTCTAGATATCGGCGCAATTTTGCTGCAAAAACAAAAAAATAATAATTGGTTTGTTACGTCCGGGGGACTTCACAAATTCTTCTCTTTCGGGAAGGAAAAATTTAACGGCTGCTAATCCATAAACGGGCACTTCGAACGATCAAACAAAAATAACCCGATCAAACAAAAAAAACTCTAAATAAACAATCGTTCTCCCGAGATATGTCTCATTATCAAAAAATTCTTGGTAAACAGCCTTGTCGGCGCCGACAAGTTTACGACTTACCAATATAAAAAATTAATATTAACAAAAGCAAATTCCTAACGGATAAGAAACGCGTTGGATCGTTCGGGGATGACACTCCCCACATTGGTGGGGAAACACAAAAAGCACCAATCAAGAAAAACTGATTAGTGGCCGTTGGCTGGCACACCAATGAGCGATTAAGAGTGTGAACTAGCGGGAGAATTTTTATTAATAAATTCTATCTATCTAAAAACTAATTCTATCATTCGCTGGGAAATCTGGAAATGGAAAAACGACCACAAATCATAGGACACCGCTCCCCTCCTTCCTCTATATTCATAATTTTCCTAAACTATCATTTGACAAGCCAACACGGAAATCCATCACGCCCTCAAATATTCCCCTCCGGAACCCCTTAAAAACCGCGACTCGGAGCGGATCGTTCTCTTCTTCCTGATACATTCGAGGTCGACACCTTCCGTAACTATTACAGTTAGAATCTGTGCGCGACTTTATTATTCTCGAACAATTCAACGATCCAGCTTGGGCAATTGCATTCCTAGACCATCGCCACCGGCCACTACAACAAAAAGTAAGTCCAAGCTTATCATTTTTTCCCGCGGTAACTGGCAGTTTGGTTCGCGACCTCTTATTTACTTATTTCTCTCAATTTATTTATCTTAAAACCACTCCAACATTCCAAATTGGCAAGCCGCCGATTAACTCGGTGAAGCTGCCTTCCCTGACTTCACAATATTCATTTCCACAACCTTCTAACCGGGCAAGCCGCCGATTAACTCGGTGAAGCTGCCTCCTCCAATTCCACAACACTCCAACCGGGCAAGCCGCCAATTGATTCGGTGAAGCTGCCTTATTCGATTCCTCAACTTCTCTCTTATCTGACTTTCATTTATATAGTGAACCAAACAAATGCCATTCGGAACGGACCAACGAAACGGACATTGCGACACCGTCGCGAGAAGGCAAATAAGCGGATTCGTCGCGAATGCCACGCCGAAGAACTCGCGGAGCGCTTAGTAGAAGTAGAGCCGGAACTAGCCAACATATCGCTCCACCAATACGCCTCAGCCCTCCGTTCCGCAGCCGAATTCGAGAGCAGGTGTACTCCGGAAAATTTCGACGTGGAGAAGTTTTTTCACCTCGTCCGTCAATTCCCTCGCTCTCCCGCCCATCCACCTCCCGGCACCTTCTTCATCCCAAGAAAATTTAAACCTGACAAACAATTCTGGGACCAAATCTCCAGGCATGCAATAACCGATACTGTCCCTATGTACATTTCC